TTTACATATAACATTATTATATAGTATATTTTAATAATAATAATCACTTGGAGGGATCAGGTGCCAGAAATGCCAGGAATTTAGAAATGCTTTGCTGATAATCCCTGGAAGGCTGGGAATAGTGCTGGGAAACGGGAATTGGGCCAGGAAAGGGAGGAGAAGCTCCATCAGGATTCCAGGCTGGGACAGAACCGAGTGCCCAGGGAGCCCCTGGGGGGAAAAGAGCCATAAAATCCAATCATGGGGGGATATTCCCTGGTCTGGCTGTGGGACAGGAAAAGCTGGAATTGTGGGAGGAGAGGGAATTGCTGGAGCTGGATGAGGAGAGTTTTCCACAGGAGCAGAGCAGAGGAGCTGCTGCAGGATCCAGGTGGAAAAGGTCCCACCTTGGCCATTCCAGGAGATGTTTGTCCAGTGCCTGCAGAGCCTGGGCCAGGCAGAGCATTCCCATGGAATCCTGGATGGGTTGGCTTGGAGGGACCTCAGATCCCATCCAGTCCCATCCCTGCCCTGGGCAGGGACACCTCCCACCATCCCAGGCTGCTCCAGCCTGGCCTTGGACACTTGCAGGGAAGGGGCATCCTCTGGGAATTCCATCCCAGAGTCCTAGGGCCTCCCCACCCTCCCAGCCAGGAATTCCTTCCCAATATCCCATCTCTGGCAGTGGGAAGCCATTCCCTGTGTCCTGTCCCTCCATCCCTTGTCCCCAGTCCCTCTCCAGCTCTCTTGGAGCCCCTTTAGGCCCTGGAAGGGGCTCCAAGGTGTCCCTGGAGCCTTCTCTTCTCCAGGGGAACATTCCCAGCTCTCCCATCCTGGCTCCAGAGCAGAGGGGCTTCAGAATCCTGGAATCCCAGGATGGTTTGGGTGGGAAGGGACCTTAAAGCTGTGGCTGCCTCATCCCTGGAAGTGCCCAAGGCCAGGCTGGATCCCCCTGGGATGGTGAGAGGTGTCCCTGCCCAGGGCAGGGGTGGAATGGGATGGGATTTAAGGTCCAACCCAAACCAGTCTGGGATTCCGTGGATCTTCTGCTGGAAAATGGCACAACAGTTGGAAAACCGGCAATTCCTCTGCTTTCCAGTTTGTCCCAAGGCAGGGTGGAAAGAGAGGGAGACGTTTCTGTGTCTCTGCAGGAATGGGAGCCCCTGGAAGCTCTGTAGACCTTCTACTACCTTGGGAATTCAGGCAGGGCTGAAACGGGCTTTAACAACTCCCAGCTTTGCTGCTTCCCTGGCTTTGTGTGGATTAAACCCTCGGATATTCCCATTTCCAGCCCTTGGTTCAGCCTGGGGCAGTGTTGGCACTACCTGACCCGCTCCCTCCTGCAGAGGTCCTGGTTGTTATTCCTCATTTAATTATTATTAATTATTTAGTGCCTGTCACTTTGCTCTGGAATCAGCGTTTTCCAGCCTTATTTTCAGGTTTTTCCCAGTTTTTTCCAGCCTTGTTTTCAGGTTTTCCCAGCCCTGCCATCGGATTGTTCCATCAGGGCCCTTTGTGTGAAATGTTGAGTCAGAGCCTTTACTTTGTCTCCATCAGCCCTTTGTTCTCCTCCTTTGCTGGAATGTTCCCGGAGATCTCAAAGCCCCATCCAGGATCTCCCAACTCCCATCCCGGATCTCAGACCCCGTCGGGGGCTCCTGTTTGTTTGTGCAGCCGCTGTCAGAGCCCTGGGTTCCTTTGAAGGGTTTGGGATCTGCTTTCCTTGTGTCCCCTGAGGAACTACCCCAGGAAACTTCCCATCCCTCTGTTGTGGCGTGGGAATGCCTTGGGAGAAGGGATTGTTTCCTTTGCCCCGTTTTCATGGATCTGGATGTCCCAGGTGTTTGGGCAGTGCGGACAGGAAGGGTTTGGTCAGGAAACATCAGGCACAGAACCCGGCAGGGAGGAGGAAGTGGCTGAAAATGTCCCCCTTCCTAAAAATAACTCAGTTTTGAGGCTTCTCCTGGCATTCCTGCTCTTCCCACCTGGATCCTGGGATGCAGGATTGAAATGAGGGGGAATAGAGACAGACACAGGGAGAGGAGAGCAGCTTGGAACTCGCTCCTTCCTCCTTGCCTGGAAATCCCTTTGCTGTCCTCCGGGTCCGTGGGCATCATTAGTGTGATGGCAGGAATTAAACCAGGCACTGAATGTAGGACCAGGGGCCTTCCTGCTTTTCTTTCCCTGATTTTTTGACTCGGATTTGCTCAGTGAGCCACAGCTCCAGGGGTTTGTTCTCCAGCCCTGATCATGGAAAGGCCACTCCAGCCTTTTGTGCCACAGTGGGGCAGGAACAGGGTCACTGGTCAGCACAGCCTGTCCCAGGCACTGCAGCCCTCCCAAAGCCAGGCTTTAGCCAATCTCCATCCAAAGCCAGGCTTTAGCCAGGCTCCATCCAAACTGAGCGAGTGCTTTCCCTGCTTTTCCCTTCCCATTTTCCTGGGAGCTTCCCAGTTTAGAACCAGCCCAGTGACTGAGGCAATGTATGGGTTTTTGTTTAAGCCCAGCTCAGTTAATCCTGCAGCAGAGCATTAATCCTGAGTTAACCACTGAGGAGGAGGCCGGAATTTCGGGTTGAGCTTTCCCAGCTGTGCCGTTGCTCAGGATCCCCCTTGGCAAAGCTGTGGTTGCTTTGTTTTATAATCCCATTTTTCCACTTAGTTTCCATTTTAAGGACTTTTTTAGTCCCTGTTTAGGACTTTTGGGAACACTGGTGCCAATTCAGTGTCTTTTGGGTGGCAAAACTTGTGGCTTTTTGGGAATTCATTCCCGTTTATTCCTCCCCTTGCTCCCTGTATCCACCTGTACCTGCACAGACATGGAGTCAGGTTGGGTTGTGTGGCTTCCAGAGGTTTCCAGACCTTCCCCACCCTCCCTCAGGGCTTCCATCATTCCTGAGGCCACACAAAGAGCACCTCCGAGGGCTCCCTGGAGCCTTCCCTTCTCCAGGGGAACATTCCCAGCTCTCCCAGCCTGGCTCCAGAGCAGAGGGGCTCCAGAATCCTGAATCCCAGGCTGGTTTGGGTGGGAAGGGACCTTCAATCCCATCCAGTCCCAGCCCTGCCCTGGGCAGGATCCATGGATTCTTCACAGATGTTGGGAAAGTTCAGCCAAAGCTGTTGGAGGAAAACTGGGAGAAGACTCCAATGAAAGGAGAGATTCCTTCCAATGTCTTTCTGCTGGGAAGGAATTCCTCCCTGGGAGGGTGGGGAGGGGCTGGGATGGAATTCCCAGAGGATGCCCCATCCCTGGGTGTGCCCGAGGCCAGGTTGGATCCCCCTGGGATGGTGGGAGCTGTCCCTGCCCGGGGCAGGGGGGAATTAAAGGATCTTTAAGGTCCCTCCAGCCCAAAGCACTCCCAGATTCCCTGATCCCGGTGTGGGGGATGGACATGGAGCTCTTCCAGCCCAAAGCACTCCCAGATTCCATGATCCACAGGACAGCAGGAGGGGCATCAAAGCCCTCGTTGCCCTTCCCTTGTCCCTGCTCTGGGGGATATTCCAAATATCCCAAATAGTCTGTGTGGGATTTGGCCGCAGCCTCGGGTCTGTCCCTCCTGCTCCTGGTTCTGCTGCTGAAACCAAATTATTTTTGCTCCAAAGCCCCGCATTTTGGCCAGGCTGGAGATCCCCAAATGAGAGAATCCACTTCCAAAGCCCCGGGAGAAAACCTGAGCTGATCCTGAAATGATTCCATGGGCTGGGAGGGCATTGAAGGCAACAGGCAAAAAAATTCCATATTTTATGAATATAAAAATAGTATAGTATAGTATATATCGTGTATATTAATATATAATATATTAGATTTTATTTTATATTTTATATAGGTTATATATTTTATATTTTATATGTTTTATAGTCTGTATTTTATATTTACATTATATATTATAGCCATGTGTTATACATATAACATGTATTTTATTTATGTGTCTATAAAATCACAAATTATATATATGTAATATATAAAAAGTATAAAAAATATACAACATTATATATATTATATATTATGTATAATGTTATTATATTATACATACGTATGTTAGGTATACATATATAATATAAAGTATATAATACCATTATAAATAGTATATAATGTTATATATAACATTATGTATATTATATGTAGAATATATAACACACCAGCAAGTCCATCCTCTTTGTTTCACTTGTATGTTTCTTTACTTCTATTTATTTTTATTTATTTCTATTTCTCTCTTGATTATTACTTCATTTTATTAATTATTCATTACTATTTTATTATTTATTTTTATTGTATATATTAATTATATGTTCATATATTAATATATTTATTTCATAGTTATTATTTTAATTATTAATTATTTATTTATTTATTTATTTTTACAATTTATGATTATTTCCTTTTTTTCTATTTATTTCTTTTCCTTTCCTATTTCTTTTCTTCCCCTTCCCTTTATTCATTTCCACCCCCACTTTTCCCTCTTTCTTCCTCCAGGACTTTTTCTTCCTCCAGGACTTTTTCATTCCCTTTAAAAAAAACCCCAAATTCCCTCTTTTCCTCCAGTGTTCCACCCCCACAGTTGGTTCCTCCCTCCTGGTTCCGACCTTTTCCGTTCTGGCTCTCCAGGGATTTGTGTTTCCTTTTTAAACTCAGTGCCTCAGGGAGAATATTCCGATTAAAGGCAGGGAACCAAAGGCTTTTAAAAGGCCAATAACACCCAAAGGCATTAAAACACCTCCTGAGCATTCCAGCATCTCTGATAAATCCTGTTTTTTTGGTGGAGGAGGTTCAAACTGGGTATTTATTCCCGCCCTGAGCAGTGACAATCCACCTTTTCCTCTGGATAACTGGGATAACCAGGGTCCATTTCACCAATAAACCCCAAACACTGATTTTCTCCCTAAATTCTGGGGGAATTCTGCCCTTTTCCCTGGATTTTGGGTGCATGACAGAGCTGCTGTGCTGAGCTTGCAAATAACAGCCTGGAATTGCTTCAGTGCTTGGAATAACTGGCTTTTTTTGGCTCTTTTTGTACTGATCAGAATTGATGTGACTGAAGTGCAAATCTTCATAATAATCATGCATTTGCTGGCAGTGATTGGAGGACCTCCTTTTTGGCAATCTCTGGTAATTCTGCTCCTCTTCTTACTTTATCCTGATTTATTTTCCTTTTCCCTGGATGAATTCCCTGCACGGGTTGATTTGGGAGGAGATTTTCCTCGGAAGTGGGAAATGGGAATTTTGGAGTCAATCATGTGGAATTCCCTGGTTCTGCCTGGGCCAGAGCTACTGAAAAAAAAAAAAAAGGTTATTTTACACCTGGAAAAACATCAAATATTGCCCAGATTTTGATGGGCCTTCAGGGAAATCCTGGGAAAACCTCCATGGATTTCGGGCAGTGGAGGAGCATTAAATTGGGATGAGGATTTGGGGATAATTGGGCCTGGCTGGGGCTGACTGATTTATATGGGGGGAAAAAACCCCAAATTGTCTTTTTTTCCCTTTTAAATTGGGAATAAATGATTAAATGAATGTTTGATTTATATTTATATCTATATCTATATGTTTTATCTATATATAAAATTTATATATATTTATATTTATATTTATATTTAAATCTATTGCATCTATTATATCTAATTTTGCATCTATTTTATTTATATCTATATATCTATTTTATATGTTTTAATACCTACTTTATATCTATATGTTCATATATATAAAACCATATAATCTATAGATATAGATGTGTTCCTGTGGGCTCTCCAGGCCATGTCAGCTGGCACTTGATGGGCTTTGTTCTTAATTATAATTATAATTAATTACTAATCACAGCAATGTTCCTAACCCTGGAATGTCTGATGGGATTTGGGATTTGGGGGTGGGAGTTTTGATTTGCTCTGGTTTTGGGGGGGAGGAGGGAAATAACGGGATCCAAAGGGGGTTGTGCACTCAAACATTCCACTTTCCCCTGGGAAGAGCAGGTGGGAAAAACGCAGTATTATGGATTTGGGAAATGTTGCTTTAATTCATTTCCTTTCCTTGTATCCCATAAAACTGGATTTCCCTGTCCTGGCTTCCTCCTTTCTGGCCCTATAAATTCCCTTTTAAAGCCTCTTAAACACTCCTGGAGCTGGAGAATTCCTGGGAGATGGTGAGTTTGGGATCACTGGGAAAATGGGAATGAAGGGAGCAAGTTTAGGGCAACTTGTTTAATCCATGGATTATGTAGTTTATATTCCATATACTGATTTATTTTGCTGTTGGAAGCAAGAGAAAAGTCCTGCAGTTCCTGGGATTTTCCTCCCCAAAGGCACCAAGGATTCGGAAATGTGGAGCTGGAGGTTGTTGTTCCTCAGGCAGAGAGTCCATGGACAGCTCCACATTCCAGCTGGGATCCAGCCCTGTGGGAAGGACTCCCGGGATCCAGGTTTCCCGGCTGGGTGTGGGATTTGAGGTCTCTTCCCTGACCCTCAGCTGGTGGAAATGGGCTCTTTTCCTGTCCATTCCCTCGTTATTTGGGGTTTGAGATCCCAGAACTCTGATGGCACCAACTCTGCAGTTCCTGGCAGCATATCCCAGCCTTGCTTTAATCCAGGTTCTTCCAACCTCTCCTGACCCTGTTCCCTTCCTGCTGCCACGTGTTCCTGTTGACATGCCAGGATTTTCCCAACCAAAATTTGGAATTGTGGAATCCTGGAGTGGGTTGGATGGGAAGGGACCTTCAATCCCATCCAGCCCCAGCCCTGCCCTGGGCAGGGACACCTCCCACTATCCCAGGCTGCTCCAGGTTTATCCAACCTGGCCTTGGGCACTCCCAGGGATGGGGCATCCTCTGGGAAATCCAGTCCAGGGCCTCCACATCCTACCAGGAAGAATTCTTTCCCAATATCCCCTCTAACCCTGCCCTCTGGCAGTGGGAAGCCATTCCCCATGTCTTGTCCCTCCATCCTTTGTCCGCAGTCCCTCTCCAGCTCTTTCAGGAACAGCTCCCTGTGCCAGCTGCTCCAAGAGCAAACCCCTCTGCTCCAGGTTTCCTTGAATCCTGGAATGGTTGCGGTTGGGAGGGACCTTAAAGCTCATCCCATTCCACCTCTGCCCTGGGCAGGGACACCTCCCACCATCCCAGCTGGCTCTCACCTGGAACGCTGCTTTCCCGGGATGTCCCTGGATCCAGCAGCTCCCTGGAGTCTCAGAGGGTTGAACACAGAATAAGATTTCCCTGGAAAACTTCTGGCTGGTGACACTTCCCTGAATTCCTGATGTGGTTTTTGAGAAGTTCCGCACAGATTTGACTTGATGACACTTCCCAGAATTCCTGGTTTTTGGGAAGTTTCATGTGGATCTTTGTGTCCCTTCCCTGAATTCCTGACATGGTTTTTGGGAAGTTCCCCACAGATCTGACTTGAGATGAAACCCTTCTAGTCCCCAGGAGGGTCAGAATAATTCCCTGGGCTGCAGTGATCTATGGAATAACAGCCAGGGAATCCCCTGGTTTCACATCCAGGGGCTGCAGTTCCATCCTGTGGGAACATTTCAGAGGGAAAAAGTTAAAATCATCTGATATTTCCTTGATTTTGCTGCTTCGCACTCTTGGCTTTGCTGCTTCCACTTTGTTCCCATTTAGCAGCTTTTTATCCCCCTCCTCTCCCAGATCCCAGGCTGTGGCTGTTCCTCATTAGTGATTAGTGATTAATGATGAGTTATTTCTGCCCTCTCAGCCCTCCCTGGTGCTGCTGCCCCTGGCAGGGGACAGGAGGGTGTTAACGAAGCAGAACTGGACCAAATTGGGGGTTTTAACTGTGATTTCCCCCTCCTGCCCCTCCCTGAGCACCTTTCTCTGGGCTTTGTCGTGTCTGGGAGTTCTTTTCTCCACTTACCTCGGGGAAATGTCAACTCTGATGTCTTTTGACTCCTGTTTGGAGCTTGTTAGTTGTTTTTTTGTGCTTGTAAAAGCCATTTCACCCCATCCTTTAAATACCAGAGTTCCCTCTCTGAGGCAGAGGGACCCGCTTTCGGAAGGCTGAGGGGAGACCTTGGAAGCCCTGAACTCCTGGCATCAATGGCTGATGCCCCGTCTGTGGCCATTCATCCTTTTGCTTTATTTGCCTTTATTTTTTCTCTACAATCTTTCTTTTTCTTTTTTTTTTTTTTACCTTAAAGAGGCAGCCTGAGCAAGACAAAAACACATTGGAGTGTTGTGGAGCTGCCCCAGGCTGGGCAGGAACCTCCAGGGCAGGGCTGGGAGAGTGGGAAGGGTTCAGGCTGCTCTGCCCTGGGAGGATCAGGAGGTGAAGCTGTTGAACGTCACAGAAAACAAAAAAAAATATCTTCAAAATCTTCCAGAATGATCTTCAAGTTCGAGGGATGTCTGGACAAAACACACCCAGGGTGGGGTTTTGGGATGTCTGAAGTTGGACTCGATGCTTCCAGCTCCAAATATTCCCTGGTTTGCCTGCTCTGAGAGGGAAATTAAAGCAAAATAGAGACACTTGGAGCTCCCTGGGGCCCCTCAGGGCTGGCCCTGGGGGGCTGAGCTGGGTTATTCCCTGGAGTTCCACCACAGCACTTCCCCAGGGAGGAGCTTTCTTGTGGTGGCCCAGATAAAGTTGGGAAGTTTGGGGCAGTTATCTCCAAACACTCCCTTCCATGAACTTCCTGGGGTTTAATTTGGGCTACTTTTTGTCATTTCTCTTCCTCCTGTTCTGCTTAAACCCGAGACTTAAACCCGAAGGGAACTTTGGAAATTGGGCTCCTTTCCCCTTCTTTGGCAGCCTCAGCCCTCCTGCCCCACCACCCCAAGGTGCCTCCTCTGGGCTCTCCTCACCTCCCTGGCCATGCCCAAAGGTTCAGAGCCCCTTTCTGGAGGGTTTCTCTGGGTCTTGGTGCAGGTGGGAGTTTAGAACCAGCTCCAGGAGAGACAAGGGAGGAATTTCCCTCCCCTGGAGGGACTTCCAGCCATTCTTGGTTTCTTGGCCCACTTTTGGGGGCTCTTCTTGTGTGCCTGGAGATCAGCCTGGCTTTGTGGGAGGCTTGAGGGAGGATCGGTATGGAATTGTTGGGGAACACGTCTCCCTGTGTGCCCAGGAGGAACTGCAATCCCTGTGTTGGCAGAGCCAAGCAAATACAGCCCTGGACAAGTGGAGTGTTTGGGTGCACTGGGGAACCTGAACCCAAAGCCAGTTTGTTTGTGCATCCTTTTAACTTCTTGTCTCTCTCCCATGAAGATTCCAATCCTGAATATCCAGGTGAAAATATTCCCAGCTCTCTGTACTGTGGCAGGAACCATCTTCTCCTGCACCAACTACTTTGGTGTGATCTTCACAGGGGGAGTTGGCAAAAATGGCTCCACCATAGCAGTGAGTACCTTGTCCTGCCCCTTCCTCCTCCTCAGCCATGCCTGGCGTTTTTATTCTATTTTGTTTTATTTTTATTCTATTTTAATTATTTTATTTTGGTTTATTTCATTTTATTTTTAATTTAATTTATTTTATTTTAATTTCATTTCATTTTGTTTTGGTTTATTTTATTTTTAAATTTATTTTAAATTTAATTCCATTTAATTTCATTTTTTATTTTATTTTAATTAATTTCATTTATTTTTTATTTTATTATTTTTTATTTGATTTTATTTTCATTAATTTAATTTAATTTTATTATATTTTATTTTTATTTTAATTAATTTAATGTCATTTTATTTTATTTTTTAATTAATTTCATTTCATTTTGTTTTAATTTAATTATTTAATTGTATTTTTGTTTTATTTATTTTTTATTTTAATTTAATTTATTTAATTTCATTTTCTATTTTATTTTTTACTTTGTTTTATTTTAATTTAATTTATTTTATTTTATTTTATTTTATTTTGTTTTATTTTGTTTATCCCCCCTCCAGGTGAAATATTTTCCTTTCACTTCATTTCCTGGCTTGGGAAAAAACCCCAAGTTAATATTGTGTGTGTGTGTGTAAGAAGAGCAGATTTAGGAGTCAGAGGCTTAAAATGGGTGATTGGAAGCAGTGCCAGCATTTTGATTTTGGGGGTTTGAGTTACTGACACAACTTCCTCAGGGAGTTCTGGTCCTTCAGAGCTGAGCACTGTCCTTCCAGCAGTGGGACAGGAGCTGGGGAGGGTCTCCTGAGCCCCCCCTGCCCCCTGGCTCTGCTGCCTCACAGGGGTTTTCTGCCCCACACCCCAAATGCAGCCCTTCAGCTGTTCCCCCAAATCCATCCCCCTGAGATGCTCTTCCCCCAAATCCATTCCCTCAGCCCCTGTTCCCCCAAATCCATCCCCTCAGCTGTTCCCCCAAATCCATCCCCTCAGCCCCTGTTCCCCCAAATCCATCCCCTCAGCTGTTCCCCCAAATCCATCCCTCAGCTCCTGTTCCCCCCACATCCAATCCTCAGTTGTTCCCCCCCTGCCTCAGGGGCCCATTTTTTTTCATGTGGTAATTTCCCTTCACCCCCCGTTTCCCAGCCCAGGAGGGTTTTTGAGGTTCCTTTGCTTTATGAACCCCATTTCTCCTGCCATACTGTCACTTCACCCCCCATTTCCCTGCCCAGGAGGGGTTTTTGGGGTTCCCTTGCTTTATGAACCCCATTTTTCACATGATAATTTCCCTTCATTTCCCGTTTCCCAGCCCAGGAGGGTGTTTGGGGTTCCCATCCTCTCTGACCCCTGTTCCCCTTTCCCAGCCCAGGAGGGTGTTTGGGGTTCCCTTGCTCCCTGACCCCGTTCCCTGTCCCCAGGGCACCAGCGTGCTGTCCCCGTTCCTGCACATCGGAGCCGTGCTCGCCCTGGCCGTGATGATCTACAAGAAATCGGCTGTGCAGCTCTTCGAGAGACACCCCTGCCTCTACATCCTCACCTTCGGCTGCGTCTCCGCCAAGATCACCAACAAGCTGGTGGTGAGTGCTGCGGGACCTGCCCCTTCCAGGCTCCATGGAAACTTCTGGCAAAACTGGGAGTTCCTGGGGGTTCCAATGGGTAACTTGTGCCCTTTGGAGCCCCAAGGAGGCGATTTGGGGAGCCTGGAGCTGCAGCAGAGCCCTCCTGTGTCTGAAAGGGCAGCTGAAGGTCCCCAGCTCTGCTCCCCCAGCTCCTGGTCACCACAAAAACAGCGGTTCTGTGCTCGTGGGGGAAGAGCTGGGCTGGGACAGGGCTGGGAAAGCCCCTCGTGGGGAGGGAGGGAGGAGGTGACACAGCTCTGGGACACTCACTGAGGGTTTAACTCCGAGCTCTGGAGTGAAACAGGGTTGAAATGATTCCCAGGGAGCAGGTGAGTGAGGTCCAACAGCCCCTGCCTCCCACCCTCCCTGTCTGGGGCAGCTGGGACAGAATTCCTAGTGGAAGGAGAGTTTATCCCTTCCCAAGACCCGTTTCCAGCTGGGCCGTGCAGGGAGGATGGAGCGTGGGGGCCCATCTGTGCAGGGAGGGAGGTGGGAAGGCCTCACTTGGGCACCAAAACATCATCAAATCATACCCAGAGAAAGGTGGGGACCTCATGGAATGGGAAAAAAGAGGTGGAGGGAGAGACAAACTCCAAAAGTCTCTGAATTGGAAGCTTTAGCAGCTGTAAATTTTGTTTCCAGGCTCAGCTAAACTTTCCAAATTTGACTTTCAACTTAAAAAAAAATCACCTTTCTGCTCCCCTTTCCCTGGTTTGTTCCTGGCAGGAGGAACAGGTTGTGGGCTGGAAAACACGTTGGGTTTTTCCCTGGGCTGCATCCTTTGCTCTAAATAAAAGCTGTTTCTCTGCAAACCTTGTAACTCCTGCAGTTACAGAACCCCACGTTCAAATAGGATTGAAATACTGGATATTTTGCAGCTGTGTGGCTTGAACTGGGGGTTGGGTTTTTGGCTGGCCTGGGCTTGTTTCTTAAAATGCTCTTTTTTCTCCTTTAAAATGTTCTTTTTTCTCCTTTAAAATGCTCTTTTTTCTCCTTTAAAATGCTCTTTTTTCTCCTTTAAAATGCTCTTTTTTCTCCTTTAAAATGCTCTTTTTTCTCTCTTAAAATGCTCTTTTTTCTCCTGTAGGAAGCTCTTTTTCCCCTGTAAGCAGCTCTCTTTCCCCTGCAGGTTGCTCACATGACCAAGAGTGAGATGCACCTGTACGACACAGCTTTCCTGGGCCCCGCTCTGCTCTTCCTGGACCAGTATTTCAACAGCTTCATCGACGAGTACCTCGTGCTCTGGATCGCCCTGGTGAGTGGGGGCTCATCGGTTCTCTCACTAATGATGGGGTTGCTTGTGCCCAGCTCACCTGCATGGGGCTGGGACAGGGAGGGGACCTGTTTTATTTGATTTTTATTTTAATTTTTTATTTTTATTTTTATTTTATTTTTATTTTTTATTTTTATTTTATTTTAATTTTTTTTTACTTTTTATTTTTCATTTTATCCTATTTTATAAATTTTATTCTTCATTTTACTCTCCATTTTATGCTTCACTTTATTCTTCACTTTGTTCTTGATTTTATTCTGATTTTATTCTCCATTTTATTCTCCATTTTATTCTTCATTTTATTCTCCATTTTGTTCTTCATTCTCCATTTTATTCTCGATTTTATTCTCAATTTTCTTCATGATTTTCTTCTCGATTTTCTTCTCCATTTTACTCTCCATTTTACTCTCCATTTTATTCTCCATTTTATTCTCCATTTTATTCTCCATTTTGTTCTTCATTTCATTCTTCATTTTATTCTTCATTTTTAGGTTATTTTAATGGGTTTTTTAGGTTATTTTTAGATTTTTTTGGTTTTGTTTTTTTTTAATACCATTTATGTGGGGAAATCCCCCCTCCCCCAGTAAAATATTCTTATGAAAAGTGAGAAATTTGGATTCCTTGAAATATCTCAGGATGATAATGATAATAACTATAAACTATTATTAAATTATTATATTAAATTATTATATTAAATGATATTAGTATTCTATTATTGAGGAGCATATTAATTATTAAATATTAATTATTATAGTAGTATTAATAACAGCTAGGAGGATATTATTAATAATATTTAACATTATTATTATTTATATGATTATATTACTATATCATATTGATATATTTATTTAATAATAATGATGATGACAGAGGTAAGGGGGCATTTCCCAGGATCTCTGGAGCTGCTGTGACTCTTTTCCCTCCTCCGACTGGAGAACTGAGAGTCAGAGGCTGGAAATGTGTTGTCACAGGGCTGGAAAAAAGCTCAACATCCCCAGAAACTGTTCCTGGAGTGACTCCCCATCCCTGGGGGTGTCCAAGGCCAGGCTGGATAACCTTGGAGGCCCCCGGGATGGTGGGAGGGGTCCCTGCCCGGGGCAGGGCTGGGAAGATCCCAGAGCTCTTTTCCAACCTGGATGAGCTCTGAGGTCCCCCCAGCCCAACCAGTCTGCGATTCCAAGAATATTCCCGGAGATCTGAAGGTTAAATTAATGCAGACCAGCCCCGCTGCTGAATCCCGGAGCGTGTGGGCCTGTCCCGCTGCGGGGGGAATCCCGGCAAGGGGATCCGAGCGTGTCCCTGGGAACGCCGGGAATGGGATCCGAGCGTGTCCGTCCCGCAGGTGCTGTCCCTGCTGGACCTGCTCCGCTACTGCGTCAGCGTCTGCTCCCAGATCGCCGCCCACCTGCACATCCACGTGTTCCGCATCCAGGGCCGCCCCTCCCACTCCAACCACCACTAGGGAACCGGGAGTCGCCAGGAAAACCGGGAAAGGGTTGCTCTGCTGCGTGGCCGGGTGACGGAGGAGAGCGGAGGCGCGACGAGACCCAAGTAATTAACAATCGCGATCACTTTGTCTGACTCTGGCTCTGGGACCGGTGACACTCCCCGACAGTCTCCTGCCTCGGGAGAGCCCATTCCAGAGGCAGCTCCGCAGTCAGCCCTGTCGGTTCCGGGCCTGGGAACAGCACGCAGGGATAACGCTCTGTCTTTGTGATTCCCTTGATTCCAAATTAACTCTCTGGCGAACGGATCCCCACGAGTCTCTAACGTAGTGTCAGTGCAGCCAGATCTGCTTTGGGTTCTAATCTCTCATCATCTCCTAGTGAAATACTCCCGTAGTTCCACTCAGATTGATTTTACTAAAGACCTGAGCTGGTTAAACACACAAACACCCCGAGGTATCTCACTGCCTTGCCTTGGAGCCCGGGCTGGGCTGGTTTTTCTTTTTTTTTTTTTTTCCGCTTGTGCATTTGGAAAAACGAACAAACAAACAGAGAAAAAAGCGGGGTTTTTTGTGCTGGAAAGAAAAAAAGGACGTGTTGAACAGGGTTCTGCTGGCAAAGGGGTGCCCGGCATGCAAAATAGTGTGGTATCTTTGTCTCAATTAATTTTATTTTTTTAAATAAACGTTATCTAAAAAAAAAGAAAACTTTATTTCGAAGCGATTTTCTTCGGTGGAAAAAGACTATAAAGAAGGAAGAAAGAAAGAAAATTTTACTGTTTACTTTTTTATGTATAAAAACTTAAGGCAAAATTTCCTTTCTGCTCTTAATAAAGAAGAATTCTGAGGGCAACAGTTGGCCTGAGATGTGTGTTGCTCTGTCCTGCTTGGACTTGGGATTTCCAGAGCAGTTTTCCAGTGTTTTCCTGTGGATCATGTTGTCATTTCCAGGATCTTCAGGAGCTTTCCCTGTAAGCTTTGTTTTTGTTTTTTCTCCCTATTTTAATACCACTGGTTTTGTTTTAAATGTGATGAATCTGCACCAGGGACACTTAAGTCGGGTTTAATACAGGGTTTCATCATCATCATGGCTGGGCTTCGCGAACGAAGATTTGGGAAGGCACTATCCACATTTGCTACAGGCACGCTGGTGGCTTATGAGGCCAATACGTGACAGACATACCCAATTGCAAAAGGCACAACAGAAAGACTCCTTAGGTGGTGTATTCTGCAAGACACGGTTCTTTCTGCGTTGCCTTTTTTCCTCGAGAGTGATCCTGCGTGTGTTCTCGAAGGAGACAGCTGCGTTATAGATGGTGTGTCTCCAGGCCTCCCGATTTGAGGCCAGAGTAGACCAGTTATGGTGATCAATAAGGCCAAGGCTGAGATGTTGTTTCAGGGAGTCCTTGTATCTTTTCTTCGGGGCTCCTCTCTTGCAGCAGCCGGTGGCAAGTTCACCATAGAGCAGGATCTTAGGGAGGGGGTGGTTGGTCCTTCATCCTTGAGATGTGCTCGGCCCATCGCAGCTGCGTTCTCAGTAACATGGTCTCAATACTTGTGACTGTTGCCTGTTCTAGTACAGATGGATTGGTCACATAATCTGACCAGTGGATGTTTAGGATTGTACGGAGGCAGCGTTGATGGAAGCGTTCGAGGAGTCGCAGGTGGTTGCAGTAGATGACCCATGATTCAGATCCATACAAGAGAGCAGACAGCACTATGGCTCTGTAAACACTGATCTTGGTGTTTTTCTTCAAGTGTTTATTACGCCATACTCTTTTGTGGAGTTTTCCAAAAACACTATATGCCTTAGCTAACCTGTTGTCTATCTCTCCGTCGATCTTACCATCTGAGGAGATGAGGCTACCAAGGTAATTAAAGTGCTGGACTGATTTGAGCTCTGATTGGCCAATGGTGATGTGGGGATGATGGGGGACTTCCTGAGGTGCAGTTTGATGGAGGACCTCTGTCTTCTTTAAGCTGACTTCCAGCCCAAAGAGCTCAGCAGCATCTGCAAAGCAGGATGTTAAACGCTGCAGAGCTGCTTCTGTGTGGGCAACAAGGGCAGCATCATCAGCATAAAGCAGCTCCCGGACAAGGTAGTTTAATGTCTTGGTGTGGGCCTTCAGTCACCTTAGATTGAATAGGCTTCCATCAGTACGGTATCGAATGTAGATCCCGTCCTGATCATCGAGGTCTGCTGTGGCCCTTTGGAGCATCATGCTAAAGACGGTGAATAGGGTAGGAGCAAGAACGCAGCCTTGTTTCACACCATTCTTAATTAAGAAGGGCTCAGAAAGTGTATTGCCATATCTGACTTGGCCATATCTCTCTCATGGAGTGAGATGATCATTTTAAGGAACTTGGGGGGACAACCTAAACGTTCCAAAATCTGCCACAGACCTTTTCGGCTCACAGTATCAAAAGCCTTGGTGAGGTCGACAAAGGTTATGTAGAGACCTTTGTTCTGTTCCCTACACTTCTCTTGCAGTTGTCTGAGGACAAATACCATGTCTGTGGTGAAACATGGGGGCCTTGCACTCCACACCAAATTCCACGAGTTTGTGGTGTGCTGTTGGGAGCTCGGTGAACTACCATCAGACCTTCGTGATGCAGTCATCATCACTTTGTACAAGAAGAAAGGTATTAAATCAGATTGCTCAAACTATCGTGGTATCACTCTGCTCTCCATTGCTGGCAAAATCCTGGCAAGAATACTCTTGAACAGACTAATACCCGCTATAGCAGAAGGAATTCTACCTGAAAGTCAGTGTGGTTTCAGAGCCAACAGGAATACAGGGTTTAATTGCTTGTTAATGGAGTTCCCAGGGTTTGAGGGGAAGTTCAGCCCCTGAGCTTGGTGTCCAGAGCAGGATCTGCCACAGACATCAAGGAGCTGAATTTTGGGGAGAGAGCTGGGGGGGACTACAGGGAATGTCTGAAATCCCCCCCCCCCCCGAGCATCTCACTGATGGTGGGAAGAAAACACAACCCCCGGAGCCACAACAGAGCCTGAGGACAAGGACCTGTCCTGGGCCAGGAACTGAGCTCAGCTCAGGTTCAAAACAATAAAAACCAGCTCCAAAAAGCGCCACCCAAAGAGCAACAAAGCAACAAACCAACTCCTGGGCCCCAGGAAGGGCTGACGTGGCTTTCCTGTGGCACCACAGACCCGGAACGGGTCAGGAAGTGCTGAGAAAACCCCATCCCTCTGGTGACTGGGGACATTCCAGAGCCCTGTGCCCAGGGCAGGCTGCCCAGGGTCCTTCCAGGGATGTGGGGCTGGGAGAGCACGGGAATGTGGCTCTGGTTGGGAATGTGTGAGGAGATGAGCACGGGAATGTGGCTCTGGTTGGGAATGTGTGAGGAGATCCCAGGCTGGCCCTGCCCAGGGTGTCCCTCAGCTGAGCCCGGCCCAGGGCCAGGCTCTGCCGGTGGTGTCTGTGCTGGGAGCTGTCCTGGTTCCTCCCTGAGGGGTCACCCTGTGTCAGAGGGGCCTGGAGGTCATGGGGAATGAGGAACGTGCTCGGGATGAGGAGGAAGCTTCTCTTGGCTCGCCCTCTTCACCCTTGAACTCCAGCCTTTTCTCCCTGGGAGCAGCTTTGGGGTCGTGGCCAGAGCTCTGTGGGGACTGTGCTGGGGTCACCCGGGGTCCCTGCCGGGCTGGGCCTGAGGGAGGTTTTGGTTCCTGGCACACTGGGCAGCTCCCAGGATCCCAGATATCCCAGTGCTGGGAGCCTCTCAGTGTGAGCCGTGTCTGGGATCCCATTTTTGGCTGTAACTGGAATTCTCAGATCTCATTTATTGAGTTCAAATGTGTTGAGTTTAACTCTGAGCTGGGGCTGGGGCTGACCCAGGTAATTCAGTGTCTTTGCAAGGCCGAGTCTGCAGGGGGAGGGTTTGAGGGCCCCTTACAACCAGCACCAGTGGGTGCAAAAAGTCTGCCTGGAAAGTCCCTCCCTGGGGTTTAATGTGGATAATTCCAACCAGGATCATTCCCGTTAGATCATCAGGCCCAACCTTTGACCAGACAGCCCAAACCCATGGAAAGGCCTTTGTGCTCTCAGGCCTTTGGAATGAAGCTGCTCCACATAATTTGTCCCCGATCCTTGATGCTGGAGAAGAACCAAAGTCTTCAAAAGGGTTGTTCGGGACTTAAACTTTCCTCGAGGAAATGCAAGAGGGCACCTTTCCCTGAGCTTCTCACTGCCTGGAAGTTTGGATACCCCCAGGCAGGAGAAGATTCCTGTTTCCCTGCTGGTTTCAGAGTTCCCAAGGAATGGTTGCTGCAGTCCCAGCCCTGCTGTGGCTCTGGGGCTGGTACAGTCCCTGGAATCAATAATGGGATAATAACCTTTCCCCCTGGATGCCACAGCCCAGCCTGTGCCCAGGGGTCGTGCAGGACATGCCGGTGGGGCTGGGAAGGGAGCAGGGATGTGGGGGCTCAGCCTGAGGGGCTTCTCCACTTCCCTTTGTGCCCAGAAGAACTTCAGCAGCAGCACCCGAGCACACCCTCCTGAACAAACAGAGCCTGTTCTGCCCAGTTCTCTGCCCCTAAAACTGGGAAAACCAGCTGGGAACTCGCCCTTGGTGCTGCAGTGGTGCCTCTCGAGCTGCTGGAGGAGCTGCTGGTTGGGATGAGGAATTTAACAGAAAGAGGCAGCTCAGGACACCTCAGGGCCTCTGGCTGTGCCTCCACTTTTGTTCCACACGATATTTTTCCCTTTTCCCGTCCTGCCTGGAGGGTCCCAGGTGCCCCCAGTGCTGCTGGGGAATCTGGAGAGGAGCTGCAGAGGAGTTTGGTCATTCCCAGAGGGCAGAGGGGAGGCTCAGGGGAGGTGGGAGCTGGGGGAACATGGAGCACTCGGCTCTGGAAGGGTGAATCCAGGCAGGAATGTTTGCTGGCACTGGCACAGGGTGACACATGCCATGGCACGAACCTTATCTCCCCCGGGGCAGAGACTGAATCCCAAATCAGGGGCTGCTGGAGCTGTTTGGGGGTGTGGGTTGGCCACTGGGAGCGGTGTCAACAACCCAGCTGAACAAACCAGCACTTTCCAGTCCAGGGAAACATTTCTTGGCGCTGTTTTGTTGCCTGTTGGAGGCTCAGATCGAGTGGTGGGTGAAGGTGGAGCAGGAAGGAGGATTTAAAAATACCCTGGGAGTTGTGCTGAGCTGCTGCAATCTGAACCTGTCCCTGCTCCCAGAAAACCCCACTGCCTTTTCCCAGCAAACCCTGGTCCCACCTGCAGGGAGGTGGTTGGAGAGAGGCAGAGTTCAAAGGGACAAATCAGGGGGTTTATTCAGTGTCTGCCCTTCCAGCACAGGGGTTTCTGCCTTCCCTGCTCCTGGTTCCTGCTGGGGAGGATGCTCCTGGCAATCCTTGGTCTGTGCCCACGCTGGGCACTGAAGGGGGGTGTTAATGCTCCTCCCAAACTGCCAGAATGTAAAGGGAGATTGTAAAAACTGGGGAGAGGGACTTTGTGCTGGAGCAGGGCAGGGGGGATGGAGTTAAACTGCCAGAGGGCAGGGATAGAGGGATACTGGGAAGGAATCCTTCCCTGGGAGGGTGGGGAGGGGCTGGGATGGAATTCCCAGGGAAGCTGTGGCTGCCCCATCCCTGGAAGTGCCCAAGGCCAGGCTGGATGGTGGGAGGTGTCCTTGCCTATGGAAAGGTGGGACTGGATGGGCTTTAAGGTCCCTCCGACCCAACCCATCCTGGGATTTGATGACTCTGAAGCCTCCCCACCCCCTGCTTGCTGTGTTTTCCCCTTGCTGCAGCTGGAGCACCGACTGCTTGGGAAAAATACCTATTTTAGTGTAAGGCTCAGGGTTTGTGTGTCTGCTTCAGCA